GAAACAGCCACACAGATGCCAAAACTGAGGATGATCTTTCACGCAAAAAAACTTGACAATTATTAGGAACAGTGACCAAAATGTCACTTTTCCTTAATTTTTTTTTTCAAAATGTCACGCTAACGGTGTTAATTTTCAATATGCCACGTGGACAAGTTCGCTGGGCACTGTAGCGAACTCAGTTTGCTGATGTGTCACGTTCCTAGTGGACACCAAGTTCGCTACCCTAGGTAGCGAACTTGGTTGCAATTAATACACCTGCATGTTTCCATCTGTCACGATGACACGTGGCAGACATGAAATGAAGTTCGCTAGGACGGGCAGCGAACTTCGTTGCATGTCTGCCACATGGCGTGGCAGGTGAAAACATGCAAGTGCATTAATTGCAACCAAGTTCGCTATCTAGAGTAGCGAACTTGCCTATGTGACATATTGGAAATTAACACTGTTAGTGTGACATTTAGCGAAAAAAGTTGGAGAAAAGTGACATTTTGATCTCTATTCCTATTAGATCCTACAAGGTTACGTACAACAAGAATAGTGCGCGTCATTTATGTTTTATGTATGAGAAAAATGTATGTCATTTTAAATGACACACCTTATATTCTTTCACTCTAGGTGAGACCCATATCTTAAAAAAAAAATCCCCACTCTCTCTTTTATGATTTATCTCTGTCTTTCACTTAAAATGACACAATTTTGTATCCTTTAAAATAATACACACTTTCCCCTTTATGTATATCGAAATTTTCCATAAAAATCAAGGTAAAGAAATTGTCAAGATTCCCCTTCACATGTTAAAAACCCCTTGCAAAGCTTGAGGAAGAAGATAACATAAGGTAATTGAAGTGTAAGTTTGTAAAAGTGATACATTGACATATTGATTAGAAACTCTAACACCAAGGGACTTGGATGACGAAAACAAGAAGCAAAGGGAATAAATGATAAAAAAAAACACATAAAAAAATAAATGATTCAAAGGCAAATCACGTAAGAAGTTTATCTTAAGCTTTAACATTATAATTATGCATTATAGGTAGTACATAGTTATAATATTAAAGTTTTTTTCTCTCTCCTCAGTCACTTTTCAGAACTTGTCTACTGATGTGGAGAGAGAGAAAAAAAAGCAACTTTAACATTATAATTATATACTACTCGTAGTACATAATTAAAAGGGGTAGCTTCAGATAAGTTTATCTCAAGTGGCTATATATATATATATATATATATATATATATATATATATATATATATATATATATATATATGGGAAGGATATTCTTACACCGGTGTAAGAGTTAGAAGTCTTACACTCAATCTTGACCATTGATCCACTTGTATCCATTGACTCACATTACTAAAAAAATTTAGCCGTTAGATATAGATGAAATCAACGGATAAGATTGAGAGTGTAACTTACACTGGTGTAAAATGATCCTGACCCATATATATATATGATAAAATTATTTCTGCAGCCGCTTTACGTACAACAACAACAGGTGTATGGTTATGATTCCCCACATTTAATGTTTTCATACTTTGTATGGTTATGATTTCTCGCATTTAATGTTTTCAAATATATATATATGGCAAGTATTTGATTGCTGCACGTACAACAGCTGCAGAAATGTAAACCCCTATATATATAGGTAAAATCATTTCTGCAGCCACTTTACGTACAACAACGACAGGTGTATGGTTATGATTTCTCACATTTAATGCTTTCATCCTTTGTATGGTTATGATTCCCCGCATTTAATGTTTTCAAGTATATATATGACAAGTATTTAATTGCTGCACGTACAACAGTTGCAGAAATATAAACCCCATATATATATACAACAATGACATATGTATGATTATGATTCTCCACATTTAATGCTTTCATCTTTTTGTATGGTTATGATTCCACGCATTAAATGCTTTCACGTATATATATATGACAAATATTTGACTGTTGCATGTACAACAACTGCAGAAATGTAAACACCTATATTTATATGTGTGTGTGTGTTGATAGCTCCAGTCATTTCGATTCCATTAGGAACGAGGATTCAAAATATCACACATGGATTAATCAAAGAGAGATTCAACAACTAAAAAAAAGATCAATTCTTTGTTACCATCCCATATCAACGAAAAAGGACAACCCTGTCAAAAGTTACTTTGTTTCTTTTTATCCAAATTACTTGTTTTTTTTCAAGTTTGTCAACTATTATATAAACATTAATATAAACACTTATAAAAAATAGCGTCAACCCCCCTCCCCCTGCCACCATTGCGTATTGTTACTTATTGGGTATATAATAGATATGCTTCTTTTTGTTTATGCAGATATAATTGTTCCGTAATTACTAAAAAATTAGAACAAATATGAAACCCTTTCCTTATATAATCCACTGAAAAAAAAGGGCGGGGTTTGGGGTCAATTCTATTTCTCGATGGGGCAGGAGAAGGGATATAACTCAGCAGTAGAGTGTCACCTTGACGTGGTGGAAGTCATCAATTCGAGCCTGATTATCCCTAAACTCAATGTGTGTTTTCTATTTGGATGCCATGATCGAATTGATGACGGATAAGAGGCTCGTGGGATTGGGGGGGGGGGGCTATATTTCTAGGGGGGCTATATTTCTAGGAGTGAACTCCAGGCGAATTTACTCAAATACTTCTTAGGAATGCTAATTTTTTTTAAAAAAATATGATTTTTTTCTATATTATATTTATAAATATAGGGAAAAATATTTGTCCTTTTAAATAACATAGAATTATGTCATTAAAGTGAGAGAAAGATACAACTTAAAATCTTTTATTTAAAATTAAAAAAAAATCACTCCCTTTCTCTTCTGTAATTTTTAAAATGACATAATTCTTTTTCTTTTAAAAGGACAAACACTAAATCCACACACACACACATATATATATATGAGGTTTAAATTTCTGCAGCTGCTGTACGTGCAACAATCAAATACTTGCCATATATATACTTAAAAGAATTAAATGCGGGGAATTATAACCATACAAAGGATGAAAGCATTAAGTGTGGGAAATCATAACCATACACCTGTTGTTGTTGTACGTAAAGCGGCTGCAGAAATAATTTTACCTATATATATATATATATATATATATATATATTTCTACAGCCACTTTAAATAAAGTTATCTACAGCTATCCAAAAATTACATCGTTTTGATTAATGAAGGATATTTCTGTAATTTTAGGTGAATTAATGAAGGATGTTTCAGTAAAATATATATGATAAAAGAAGGGGTTTGCATTCATCATTTAACTTGACACAAAAAAGTTTCCTACACACACAACATTTTGTGTGACCCGCACTTTTTGAAACAAAAAAAAATTAAAGCACGCAAAACGGATCTCTATAACATTACACAATCACTTTTCCTTCAACATAACTCTTATAAAACCCATAAAAGAATAACCAAAATTACATAAAAGTTACACCTAGTTCACTGCCAATTTTTCTCCACCTCCTCGGTCTTCTGCTGTTGCAATTGTTGAAACTGTCTACTCAAGTTGTGCCCATTTTTTCGGTTATTTTTAAGAGCTCCATTTTCTCCCTCGTGCCATCTCTCTCCCACTCTCGTATCTGTTTTTTATTTTTCTCCCTTGTTCCTCCCAACCTTTTTCTTTGGGAGAGACCACGAGCCTCACAATCCAAATCTATGCCAGTGTCTCATTCTCTTTTTTTTTTTTTTTGATAAACCTCTTATTTTTTTTATACAAGTGAGAATTGAACATATAATCTAACAAAACATATTTAAATTTGACATAACTAGACCGATCCTAATCATCATTAGACCAAAACTAATGGTTTACCTCATCTTTCATTTTTGTTTCCCTCCCCACTTAGGAACTCCATTTTTATTATATTTTACAATTTATCTTTATTGATAAATAAGTTTTTAGTATATTTATTATTATTCAACAATTTTTTTATAAAATTTATTAAATAATTTAAATCCATTCTTTTTATGATAAATTTTATATAAAATTTATTAACAGTAAAAAAAAAATATTATTAACATTCTTCCACCAAGAATTTAATGGCACCAAAAAAGATTCCAATAACTTTGAAGATCAAAACATATATTTATATGCTAGGTAAAATCCAACCATGACCTTGCCCCCCCCGTAAGAAAGACGAACCAATACCATTTACCATAAATATTTCCAATTTTTTGTTTCTTAATGAAAAATTCAAGAAAAACAAAAAATGTTATCCCATTTCAAAGCCAAATATGTCACGTGTTCTAATAGGAACATATCAATAGAATACCATCAACGTGTAATTAAACTCAAGATAAGAATCCTACAGCGTCAACTCAAAACACTTGAAGCTTAACTACCTGTTGCTTAAACTCAGTAAGGATTAAGAACTAGTATCAAATCTACAAAGACTATACAACCAGTGGCTACAACAAGTATATTAAAGGACGGTCGAGGTGAACTTGTGTCGTACTCGTACATGCATGAAGAAGATCAATAGGAACGAGGTTGTTTCCTTCCACAACAGCTACCGAATCCATAGCCGTTAAAATAGCAATCATACCGACAAACATGCCGGATCGCATCAACAAAACCATTGCTAACTATGGGTCCCACCCTACTGTCCCCCTTCCATGCTATTGCTCTTTACCTCCAACTCCTCAAGCCGTCTCTCATCTCTCAATAAACCTTGAAATGATTAACTAATTAAAAAAAAAACGAGAAAGATTGTGTCAATCACGAGGAGTACCCAAATTTTTGTTTTGTTTGTACATTGTAATTGCAAAGGAGATCTTACGTTGTTTGGTCTTCGAAAGGCATAGCCTTTTCTCAATGTGGCTGTTTGGATGCAATGGTTATGTTATGAATGTGCATTCTTTCAGTGATAAATTTTTCCCGAATCTTATTTGTTTCACCGTATCTCGATTTTGAGTTGTTTTACACGAAGCCCTTTGGATTTGGAATCTGAATTTTGAGTTTGAGTAGATACGATGGATCCATTGTCAACGATAAGTGAGGAACTAGCCGAGATCGATGGACAGATCGCTGATGTTTTCCGTGCTTTATCGTAAGAATTTTAAGCTTCTTGATTTCTCAAACTTCGATTCGCCTCATTCTGAATCACTCTTTGTATCTGTCTTATGTTATGGGTTCCTAACGAATGCATATGATATTTTTATTGTGTATTTTTTGTTTTTTTATGTATTTATATTGAATAGTTATAGTGTTGTTCGTGCAGAAATGGGTTTCAGAAGTTGGAAAAGATTAAGGATACGAGTAGGCAGAGCAGGCAATTGGAAGATCTTACAGAGAAAATGCGAGATTGTAAGGGGTAATTTGACATCTCACACTATGATTAATCTTTTATATTTTTGGTTAAATTTGGTAGCTTTTCTTGTATGCACTACGAAGTTTGCATGTCGTTTCATGTCATGAAATGGTGAAACATAAAAATTTCTTAACAAAATGCACTCATGCGGAGGAAATAGAAGAGACGAGGGAAAGATTGTGAATGTAATTGTTTCGCATCTTTATTAACATAAACCGAGCTTTTCTTAATGTGTGTATATCAATAAATGCATTTTAAAAAATGATTTTTCCAAAATTTCAAAAGAGAGTTACTACCTTTTCTTTTTCTTACTACTTTTCAAATCTTAATCATTGATTTTCACAACTTATTGGAAATTAATAAGTATAACCTTTCCCAATTTCAAATGCTTACTTTTGTTCTTGTACCATCTCCTATATTGTATTGAGGAGGATATTCTTACTATCAAAATTTTTCACTATCAACTTATTATGTATCTAATCACCATTGGATCAAAAAGAGAGAATGCTGAAAAATTGCTGAAGAGAGAGAAAATACTAATATAATGGTGATTAGATAGGTAGTAAGTTGGTAGTAGAAAATTTTGGTAGTAAGAACATTTCCCCTCATTGTATTCATGGCAAATTAGAAGAATTCAGGTTTTATTGTATGGAGATAGGATATTCTTACTACCAAATGTTCCTATTAACAATTTAATATAACTATGTACTACCAGTAGTATATCCAAAATTATTTTTTTTTCTCTCTCTTCAAAAACTTTTCAGATATTGCCTGCTGAAAAGTGGGATCCAACAGCTAAAAAGTGATAATAAATTGGTAGTAGGCATATTTGGTAATAAGAATATCCAGCCTATTATTGTCTCTCCTCAAGTGTGCATTGATGAAGTGTGCATTGCTTGTTTTGTCTTTATAGGCTTATAAAAGAGTTCGACAAAGTTATCAAGGCTTTGGAGGGTAGACTTGATGGACAAACCAACAAAATGCTGAACGAGAAAAAGCAATCGATGGTGAGATGTTAACGCCAGATACACTATATCAATATCATCTTTTTCTTTGTTGCCTCCTCAATTATGACTTCTTCATATTTTTGGTTTCTTTTTCCCTATAATTTATGAGCCTTATTCATCAATCTTACTCGTTTGCAATTTTTGTTGCAGATCAAAGAGTTAAATTCATATGTTGCTTTGAAAAAGCAGTAAGTTAACGTATCATATAAGCTATTGATGTTAGTCTGTTTTAACGGGCACAAGTTTTCCTTGTTCATATAATGTATAAGCCTCCAGCTTCCTTAGAGTGCTAGAAAAAGTAACTTATGATCTTACATGAGTATGATGTTATACCTTAATAGAGTGGACCAATCAGTTCATGTTGTTGGTTGCAATGCAGATATGCTACAAATATTGAGAATAAGCGAATTGAGCTCTTTGAGGGGCCTAATGAAGTTTATTCGGAACAAAATGTCTTGCTAGCTTCATGTAAGCATATGGTTTCTTTAAAATATACTATTTTCCCAAAAAGTCCACTTATTTTGGAAGTTTTGTATGCTAATAGTCATGTATCATATACTTTTTAAGCAGCTCAGTATACGTTTTGTCAACCAATACATATTTGTCAATTCTTATACAAGGCCTTTACTTGTTATTCTTGCCTTAAATGACTTGGTTATATTACTTATGTTACTTAAGAGACAGCACCTAGTTTAAACAAATATTTGTTACAGCTAATTGTGAAGAATTGATATAAAGATGTGCACACTGTGAATGGAGGAGTCCCCTAATAGTGAGGAGAAAAAAATACCGTGCTTACTGTTACATTCTTTTCTGCGAAATAGTCTTGTTCTGCTTTGATGTGTGCACAACTCAGCATGCAGATTTCATGTTCTAAGTTGTTTTCTACTTGTTGGTTAAATTTGATTGTGGGGCATTTTATGATGTAACTTTTTTCCTTTACAGCAATGACAAATGAACAGCTAATTGATAGTGGGAATCGCATGATGGATGAAACAGATCAAGCCATTGAGAGGGGAAAGAAGGTTGGTTTATTTTATGAGTATCACTTTTCTGAATTCCAATGCAACACATGGTCACAATTGAATCTCCCAGCCCAACATTTATTAGAGAGAATATGCAATAATATATTATGTGTTACGAAAGCATTTTGGATATTTCAAAACTGTTATCCATTTCTTGTTATAAAAAAGGGCACTTTGCTAACAAAATTTTTACTAATAGATTGTTCTAGAGACAATAGATGTTGGAACCGAGACTGCAGCAGCTCTCAAGGCTCAGGTATGTAACTTGCGATCTTATTCGTAGCCCAAAAAAAAGGAAAACAGAAAAAAAAACACGCACACAAAGCAAAATAAATCTTGAAATTCATATAACTAAAGCCTAGTGTTCTGTTCTATATAGACGGAGCAAATGAGCAGAGTCGTCAATGACCTAGATTCTATCCATTTCTCTTTAAAGAAAGCATCTCAATTGGTCAAGGAAATTGGTAGGCAGGTCAATTTCTACAAAGTCCACTTCCTTCTGTCGCAATGTAGTTTGCACATGGATCATTGGTTGATTAACTTACTGCAGTTTTTGCAATAGGTTGCTACTGACAAGTGTATTATGGCATTACTTTTCCTGATTGTCATTGGAGTAATAGCTATCATTATTATAAAGGTAAGAGTTAGTTTAATTATTCAAAAGACTTTCCTCTACTCTTTAGGTTTTTCAAGGTGAATTTGTTAAGCTCAGGTGATTTGTTTACTTAGTAGGAAATTAGAAAATGTTGCTTGAAAAAAAATAAAAATGGTTTTGTTCCTTATGAAGCATAATATGATGAATTACTGATTGACCTAGAGAAAATGCTTCTATTTCCAAGTCTCCACCAGATACAGCTTTTAATGGCCTTTTACTGATCTGTAAGTGCAAATTTATATATTTTTTAAAAGTTTTGTGCAACTGTAACACTTTACAGACAGCAACATCAACGTTATCTTAATCTCAAATTAGTTGGGATCTGTGACAAATGAACCCAACTAAAAAGTATGAAAAAATTGAAAGAAAAAAAAAGATAAAAATAAAACTAAAAGAGCAATAAATAACATTAGAAATGAAAACATAGCAATAAACAATCCAGAAAAAGAATAAGATAAAATAAAATGAAAATAAAGATACATGATGAGAGAATAATGGTAGGAAAGTAAATGTAAAGATACTTATAAAACAATTTTTTTTAAGAAATAGAGAGATAAAAAAAGAAAAAAAATTAATAAGAGAAGAAAGATAGAGAGGAGAAAAAGTGAAGAGAGAAGAGATGTAAAGGAAGAAATGAAGGAAAAAGACTAAAAATGGACCATCTAAAACATAAGAACGTGTCTAACCCTCCATAGGTTTCCTCTGATCCGTCCTATAACACACCGTCCGCCAATTTATATCTCACTCCATTAGATCTTATTTCACTACCTACCCCCAAGTAGGCTTCGATCGGTCTCTTCCTCTCTGTATATCGAATTATTGGTAACACATTTTTGTTCTTACCAAAGCATCTAGGGGTCTTTGCATTATGTGCCCAAACAATCTCAATTTATACGCTCTCATCTTTTTGACCACCGATACTATTCCTTTCTTTATTGAATATCTTTATTTCTTATCTTATTCATCTTTGTGTGACTACACATCCACCTTAACATTCTCATTTTCACTATTTTTATTTTATGCTCATGTTGCCTATGAGCTGACCAATATTCAGCTCCATATAACATTGCAAGTCTTATTGTTGTCCTATAAAAAAAATTTTTAGCCTAGGAAAATCTTGCGGTCGCATAAAAATCCTAATGTACTATGTCATAAGCCATTTCATCCATCCTGCTCTTATTCTGTTATTCACATCCTAATCAATCTCTCCACCCTTTTGCAACTTTAAGGACACCATGAACAAAAATAAAGGATTCAAATTCTTCATTTTGTTGATTTGTTTTGAGTTGGGTTGTTAATCAATGTTGAAGGAAAGGACAAAAATGGAAGATAGTCTTAGTAGTATTGACTATGAAGTTGGTACTGACAAATGTGGCGCCATTTTGTTTTGAAACATCACCTTTTTACCAGTTTATGTAGTATCACTATTCTAGAAGCCTCTTTTGCATTGTACTTGCCAAACATCATATTTTTTTCTTATTAAATGTTCTGGTAATCTTCGAATCCTGTCTTACTATGCTAGCTTGTCTGTCAAACTTTCAGCTTGTGCACCCTGAAAACAAGGATATTCGTGACATTCCCGGATTAGCCCCTCCAGTTATGACCCGAAAACTGCTTTGGAATCATAGTTGAAGAATTCTAGTGAACATTGTGATGGTCATCATATTGATGTGCGTGTTCTTTGCTTTGATGGTGATGATGTTCGGTGCAGCTATTGTTAGACAGCAGTTTGCCAAGTATTAGGTTTGTGATTGCATATGGCTGTAGGGATTGCTTGACCTGAAGAACGATCCAATACCAGTCTCTTCAATTGTGCTTCTTGAAGGCCCTGCACACTTAACTGTTTATTGAAATGGTCAATTTTTACATATAGTTACCATCCTCTGAATCACAGGGAAAGCCAAAACAATTGAGCCCTCGACATTGTTTGTTAATTTTCTTACCAGTCTTGTAATATAAATATTCCCAGTTTTGATTCCCCCCACAAACAACGCCCATAATCATGGGAACTTTTTATCCCTTTATTTTGTACCGAACTTGGTTAGTTAAAATTTAAGTTTGAGTCTATATTATCATTGTAGTGGTAACTGCGAAGAAGCTTATTCCTAAGAAGACATGGTTTGAGAGAAAGATGCGTATAATAGATAGATATTTATGACATGTACTAATTAATTTGAATGCAAGTAACATCCCTTGACTTCTCTCTGTTTTCAAACTTGAGTGAAGACACTTTTTTTTTTTTGGTACATCAAGGGGCTAAAGCCCCACAACACTTGCACAAGTTAGTGACTGCAAGAATTGAGCAACCGGCATTACTTTGTCTAATATTGCATCGTGAACAAAAGGTTCCACCCGAAGAATTATTATGTTTGTTTTTCACCGTGAGTATTAATTAGTTCGTTTAAAAAATGTAGATTTAGAAATTTCAATTTTTTTTAAGGGAAAAAGGTTTATACTTTTAAATGATACAAATTGTCTTTTTTATTTTTAACACTATGTATTATGACTAGTACATATTTATAATATGAAAAAAAAAAATTCTCTGTCCTCAGTTATTTCAATTGACGTGAAAAGAGAAAAAAAAATAACTTTTTATATTATAATTATATACTACCCGTAGTATATAAAGTAAAAAATTAAAATGACACACACTTCACTTTTTTTGTAATCATTATTCTTTATCAATGACCGAACTTAACACGGCCTAGATACTTTGATTTCTTTTTTAATTTTTTGTGCTCAAATTTCAACGGAGAACCCGAAACTGCTTCCCCAAGAATTGACATTGTTGACTGCTATTCATTTAAGGAGAAGTCTCTTGTAGGGTCGTGATCGAGGTGGTGGTTGCTGTGTTAAGAAGGCCATACAGACGAAGTGATTTAGGCAGATTTCACATTAACAAGAGTAATGTTGCTCCCTTTTTCTGAGGTGAAGACATTTTATTTATTTTTAAATGTACTCTTACTTACGCCCAATCTTCTTAACTATTTATCTTATTGGTATTTAACTGTTCACTGTTTACATAATTAATATATTAGATTCGTTAAATATAAATGTAATTAAGTATAATACTTACACCAATATGAATTAAACCTACCCATATGCATATATCTTTATCTTCTAGCCTATGAATTAGAGTTAAACTTAGCTCATAAAGAGATGAAACTGGTCCACTGAAAATTGAAAATTGCAAAGAGTGTGACAATTGAAATGGATCCTTTCATGATTTTATGTGACAAAATCTCAACTTTCCATAAATAAATGAGCCGTAATGAGATAGGATGTGCTCCTGTTATTCACCCCAAAATTTTCACCCAAGACCTGCCACTATCCTTATTCAATCTCTTTTCTCAAATTGACAATGTCTCATATTTGAACTGAACTTGCCGCAATTAATCCTGTTTCTTTACTTTTGTTAAACTATATATTACTATTATTTATTAACTAATACTTCTTCTGCTTTAAAACATTAACTGATTTATGGAATACAAAAAGAAGAATAATTTTTTGTATTTTATCTATCATTTTAAAAGCTAATAAATGTTAACTTTTATTTTTTAATTATCTTTATCTTTAACTTTTTTCACTAAATGAAATAAGATAGAAGGTATTAATAAAATGAAAAGATAATTTATTTAAATATAATTTTTTTTATAATTAAAAATGTTTACTATCTCTTCTCTAATCTTCTATATAAAAATCTTAAACAGCTATTTTTATTTTTATAAATCACGGGTATCTCCGGGAAGCAGTAATGTTTGAGCAGGGAACATTTATATCATGCTGGGACTAGCTCTTTCAAAGAAATTTTTTTACATTCACGAGGACTTGAACCTAAGACATTGCTTCAGCAGAACGAGCCAACCTCCCAACTCAGCTAGGGCCCAGGAGAATTTAGTTGGTGTCAAATATTAAAACGTGGAAGGTAATTTAGCCATGGTTATTTAGCCTCGTTTAAAACATGGCTAATTTTTGAAAATAAGCTGGGGCCAAGGCATCCCCTCTACCCAACATGGCTCTCACATTGGAATTATGTATATACCACTTGAATCAATTTCTTTGCTTTAAAAGGCTTATATTAAAGGAACAGTGACCAAAATGCCAGTGTTCCCCAAATAATTAACCAAAATGTCACGCGAACAGTACAAATTTCCAATATGCCACGTGGTGTAATCCTCTACCCATTGCAGCAAATTACGTTTGCTGTTGTGGCAGGTTTCTATTAGCCACCTAATTCACTACAGGTACCAGCGAACTAAGTGGTCAAATGTCAGTCTATGATCATAAGAAGTCAGGACCATAGAAGTTCGCTACGGGGTCTAGCGAAGTACGTCCAACGGTCACACAAAAAAAAAAGTCGTTGGCCACGTGTCAAACATGCACAAGTTCGCTACACAGCATAGCGAACTATGTACAATTGGCAACCTATTTAACTTCTCCTCTCACCCCACATTTCCCCACCCCCAGTTTCTCTCACTCTCTCACTCCCTCCCTCTCTCTACAATTTCATAATTATTCTTTCTCTACAAGGAAGTAATTGTTCTCTTTACAAGGAAGTAATTGTTCCCTAGAAGGTTAGTGGTTGTTACATTATTATTTATGTATTAAAATTTTTATTTATTTATGCATTGTTAGTTTTTGGATATTATTTAGGGTTGAGATTTGAAAACTTAGGTTAGAAGATATGTTAATTTATTAAAACCATAGGATAGAACCAATATGTTTTATATTTTTGATTTTATAAATATTTACTTTAGGACTTGAAACCTTAGGTTAGAGGATATTTATTTTTTTTTGTTTTAAACTCTAGCATATATAGCCAATGTGTTAATGTTATTATATTAATTAAAACTCTATGATAAATTTAGGATAATAATTAAAACGGTAGGATAGTTGATAAAGTATTATATGTTTGAACAAAAAATATTAAATTATGTTTTGTAGTCATTATTTTAACATATTTTATTTTAGGTCTCGAAACCTTAGATTAGAGGACTTGATATTTTTCGGTGAATTGATATGTAGGATAGGTAGTGAATTATTTAATATATTTAAAATTTAGAAAAAAGTGTTTATTATTTTAAATGACATAAAGTTATGTCATTTTAATAGAGAGATAGACACAAAATAATATTTTTTATTTAAAATCTAAATTAAAAAAAAGCCACCCACTTTGTCCCTATGATTTCCATTCCTTATGTCTTTCTCTCTCCTAAAATGACATAAGTTATGTCATTTAAAATGACAAACATCAAACCCTTAAATTTATAATACAAGTTACGTTTTACATTTTTTATTTTAATATTATTATTACTGTTAATACATGTTATTTCCACTGTATAGGTTATTAATTATAAATAAAATAAAGGTTAATATCATTTAATTATTCTTCTAAATAGATTCGTGGAGTATGAAGATGTCCCACGTCCTGGGTCTCCGTGGAGAGTGATTGACCCCGGTCCCTTCGACCATTCTCTTTTGAAATTAGAGGAGAAACATATATCTACACATGTGTGGAATACCTGTGAGGCTTCAAACGTGTAGGATCATGTAATTAATGTTAGACATGCGGCGAGACATGATCACACGGATATACCTGAGGAGATCCAGTCGTGGCTGATGCAAGCTGGTTTCTATCACATTGTGTGCCTGTGCAACCATAAGGCAAGTATACTCTTATTGTATAACCTTGTATTATGGTGTTGTGATTGTAATATATTGATCGATGACATCATACCATTTTTTATTTCAGATCGACCATGGGATTGTGTCAGCGCTTATCGAGCGATGGCGCCCAGAGACACGTACATTTCATATGACCATGGGTGAGGTTACCATCACCTTGGATGATGTACATCATCTATTGGGTTTGCCCACAGATGGTGAGGTTATCTCGGCACGCCACAGACGACATCCATTTCGTCAGTTGATTCGTGACTTCTTAGGAGTTGAGCCAGAGGCTGGTGATGATTTTTCTGGAGGTTTGTTTGGCCTTCACTTTCTACCTGAGCGTTTTGACGATTATGGTGTCAACGCTGGCACAAAAGTTGGCTATATGAGTTACACTCGCACATTGATCTTTCGCATACTAGGCGGAATGTTGTTTGTCGACACCGCCTCCAACTTTGTGCCTACAAAATACTTTTTTTTTGGATGATTTCCGGTGCACGGGTACCTTCAATTAGGTTCTACAATTCTTATATTCTTGTACAAAGAGTTATGCAAGGTGACTGACAGGCGACATTTTGATATGGGTGGATGTGCATTGTTATTGCAATTATAAACGTGGACCAGATTCCCATCTATCTCTCCTGAACTCCCCAACGTGTCTGATCCAAATGACATATACGGATCCAGGTATAGCAAACTTATATTTTATTGTACGATTGTAAAATTTTTCGGGTTATTATTTTCTAATACTCCAATTTTACTATTGCAGGTTTAATGTGTATACTACACGGCAGGTGGTATATACATATATTCGCAGATACCGCCATTATATGGATATTTTGCATCACCTTCAAAAACTTGACCATTCGGTCCAAAATATTTCCTCTTATTATAATATACAGGGGCGATTAAATCATTCCTTCTGTCACTCATTATGCAAAAATAGAAATAAAAATAACAGC